TGAAATAGTCTTATAGTATACACATATATTTACCTGAAAGTTCTTGCTGATCTCAGTTAAAGGTCCCATTAATATTATAAGTATGTTACACTTTTAATAGCTTTTAATCACACATGGTATTTTATAACCGTACAGATTTATTGCATGAATGATGAAGTGACAAGATTTCCCCCCCCCCCTTTGTGCGGACTGCAAATGTAAGAGATTGAAAGGCCGTGATTCAAAATTCATGTCCCCCTTTTCTCTGTCTGATTTAAAACAAATGTGATGAGCTTTCAACCAATTCCCTAGAGCAGACTTCGCTGTAATTTGATAAAACACTCTAGCAGAGTGTAGTCAGAGAGCTAACATTCTGTAGAGTTATCTGAAATGAAATCTTTGCACATTTGATTTGGCATTAATAACTCGCTCCAGAACAATGCTTGTGGAGTAGCCTCTCAATGTGTTTATGCATGTATAATGTGTGTACTACTTTGATGCAATGAATAAATAGACTGATACAATACAGTTCTGATGAATATGACCATTTACGCTGCTTTAATGATTAATTTGCTAATATTTTCTTTTTTCTAATTATGATAAATAACAGACCAATATTTTGGGAAGTTACATTTGCATGCTTCAAAAGTTTATCTGAGAATATTGCTTCAATTTTTCTGTTGTAACATGGCAAAATGGTTGCAAAATATTTTAGGACCGGTTTATTGTGCAGATCTATATAGTACTTAATCCTGACCTTTTACACGATATTTTAACTGTATTTTTATAGACACCATTTCAATTACAGCAACAAAGCAAAAATAATTAATTACAAATCCTTTCCCCCTCCCTACTTTTTCATCAATCCAAGGAGGTCTAATGAGTATTACTCAACTCTATTTGTCTATTGACAAATATTATCCGTAACATGTCTGCTATACAAAGCAATTGTGGCTGTTTTGAATGACAGAAATGATTCATTTAGTGGTCTTAAACTGTGTAATAAGATAAACTTTTGACATAACCTCCTGCATAATTGTTGTCCAAGTTTTCCTGCTGTCCTCTACGTTCCTAGACCCTTTCATTTTACCATAATGTCTTTTTAACTGTAAGCTTGTGGGTAGGGGCTGTCTTGTTTGTCTATCTATCTATCTATCTATCTATCTATCTATCTATCTATCTATCTATCTATTGTCAGTGGCATCACTAGGGTTGGTGTCACCCAGTGCGGTAACTCATGGTGTCACCCCCCCACACACACCATTGACCTCCTCCCGTACAACACTATACAGAATCCTTAGTAATTTTTTGTACTAATTTACTTATAAATTGTAATTCCCATATAGCACTGAATGTGGTAATTGTTTTGACATAAACAACTAACAAGATAACATACACAGAACCAATGTTTCTACATATACATAGTTTCATGTGGTTAAAGTGAACATTAGGTGTAATGTGATGTTTTTAAAGAATTTTAAAAATTATTTTTAAAAAATATTAAAATTTGAAATTTTAATTTATAAACAAACAAACCTGCGGCCTCTCCTTTCTCCTCCCACTGAGCCTCACCCCACTCACTCCATCTCTTCAGCATTTTAAAGAGATATAGGCAACTGTCACAGCCTGTTTCTGCCAAAATACAGATGTTTGAGTGGTCTCACCCCCCCCTCCTTAGGGTTTGTACCCCCCGCACCCACCTAACAATGCCATTACTTATTGTTCTTCTTATGTGTGCTGGTCTGGTAGGCATCCTACTGAAGAATGAGACATAAATGCTTTAACTTCAATCTTAAAAATATGTGTTAGAAATTTATTTTGTAAAATTACCTCTGCCTGACTGTGGCAAAAATACATAAACATTGGCCGTTATCACACGGGGGCAAATCTACTGGTTAATCCACACAAATACCAAACAGAAACTGGATTTGTGCCCCGC